GTGGGGTTTGAGGTCTCTTTCTCAAGCTTCCCTCAGTGTTACAGTCAGTTGACTTCCTGTTAGCTGTATGATGTAGGACTCTTAGCTGCAGCATCGTGTCTGCCTGCATGCCTTTATGCTCCCCACCATTATGATAATGGACTGATCCTCTGAACTGTAAGCCAGCCATCCCAATTAAATATTTCCTTTGTAAGAGTTGCCGTGGTCATGGTGTCTCTTCACAGCAATAGAAACCTTAACTAAGACAGGTGGAAACTGATAAACTGATTAAAGTTTAGATGAGAAGTCAATGAATTTTCAGTGGCCCAAACAACATTAGAGGACTTCTTACTTCAATACAGTTTTGAGTCTGTGATGATCAAGACAGTGTGGTAGCAGCATAAAGACAGAGCAGTGGTCAGCCCAGCAGGGTGCTGAGTCCTAGAACATGCACACTTGTATTGTCAATTGACTTTTGACAAAGGCACAGAGATAAAATTTAGTGGGTAAAGGATATTTTTAACAAATAGAATTGGAACAGTTGGATAATCACAGACAAAACTTGACCTTTAGTCTATACCCGGCACCACATAAAGAAGTGGCTTGAGGATCATAGGCTTAAATGTAAACAGCAAAAGGTACAGAGCAGACAGGAGAGTCTCTGTGACTCTGGGCTGCACCACTGTTTCTCAGGTAATATCTGGATTTGTTGTCAGGGCATGTGAAGAACTTTCCTTTGTTAGTGGGAATGGAAAATACAACCAATTTGCAAAACATTTTGTCAGTTTCCCGAAATGTCAAACACACGGCTCCCTTCCTCTGCCGTCCTCTGCTGCATACTTACCCAAAGTGAAACCTGTGTCCATTGCAAGGTTTGAACATGTATAGTCAATGATGGCTTCATCTGTAATAACCACAGGTGGGAGCAACTCAGATGACATCTACAGGTGGGGCAATTCAGTAAGGGTTTGGTGTGGACACAGATCACAGTGACAGAAGCCAGACCAAAAATAATAACAATTGTAGAAAGCTTATTTATTTTTGAAATATGGAATCAGTGGTTGGCTGGGTAAGTAAGGTGATGAAGAGAGGGCAGGAGGCGCAGATTCTGCGGGGTTTGTGGAAATGTCTGGAGCAACAGGCGTGTTCGTTATCTGTTTGAAGGGTTAGAGTCAACACTTGCCAAGCTGTACACTTCGTGCATTAGTCAGATTTATGTGCCGTAACAGCATCTGGGGTTGGTGCTTTAGGAAGAAGGTCTGCCTTGTAGCTCTGGCAGTCAGGAGTATGGGCCTCCTCATGAAGGAGGTCCTTGCCCACCAGAGAAGTAGTTAGCTATGTGCAGAACATACCACACTAATGGTACATTTTTACCATGACTTCTGTAAGAACAAGGATGCACTTCCATGAGAAAAGTATTAGTCCCTTCACATCGCTCCCTAGAATCTAATCATCTTCCAGGAGGCCCTGGCTCTTAAAGAGTCCACCATTTCAAAATTGCTGCACTGGATACCAGGCTTCCCACCCTTGGGCACGTGGGGAGGTACATTCAAACCGCAACTGAGCCAGCGCACTGTACTTTACTCTCAGTGGGGCTATTAAGATGAACATTTTTTTGTATACATTGTGGTTTTCTTCATTTTATATTAACAATTAAAATTTAACTCTAAGGACGAAGTCGGGCACTTGAACGAAGAGCAATATGATGCATTACAAAGATTGGATGTGGAAATTTCTCATTGTAAAATTGCAGATATGGGGTTGGAGAGATGGCTTAATGGATCAGAGCACCAACCCTGTCAGAGGAGCCAGATTTGATTCCCAGCATCCGCATGGTGGCCTCACGACCACTTGTAACTCAAGTTCTTAGGGACCCACATCCTTTTTTGGTCTCTGAGGGTTCCAGCATATATATGGTACATATATACAGGCTCACATGCATGCACATAAATAAGAAAATTTGCAGATATGTGGAATTAGTATGAGAAGTTTAAGAAATTTAATTTATTTTGCCCGAAGGTATCTCAACAAATTAGTAAGTGTAGTATAGCTGCTTTCTGGCTTCAGATCTGGCTTTTTCTTTTCTTTTCGTCTTTTTCCTTTAGTTTTGCTTTAAAAAATGAACTATTTTACTAATTTTAAAATTTAAACATTAAAAAAATGTTATATATAACTGTTTTGTCTGCATGTTTGCGTACCATGTGTGTGCCTGTGCCCATGGAGGCCAGAAGAGGGTATGGGATCCCTTGGAACTGGAGTTACAGATGATTATGAGCCACCATGTAGGTGATAGGTATTCAACCTGGGTTCTCTGAAAGAACAGCTAGTGCTCTTAACTGCTGAGCCATGTTTCCAGCCCTGATCTGGCATTTCTGAACCTGGGAGTGATTGTAGAACAAGCGCCCTTCTTGAAGGGTTAGGGGATGCCCCATGCTGCTGTAGTAGGTTTTTAACAGATGCAGGTAGTTTCTTTAAAAAAGGGCATGTGCCATCTAATTGCATTAAAACTATTTCCTCCAAGTTGAGTATGATCCTTGACACATGGCATCTTCTTTAACACAGGTTATTTAAATTGCTGTTTCTGTTTCCCACTATACCTAAAGCAACATATTAACATTAGATGTGTCTCAAGGATGTAGTAATTTATATAATAGGGATTACTGCCCTATCTCTTATATCTGGAAGGCCTTAAAGAAAATAATGTTGAGCACCCAAAAAAGGGACCAGAGACACACAAAAGTTAGTGGACTGCACCTGACAGCACAGCTTTGATCCAGGCCCATTTATTCTTTTCTTCAGATACAGCTTCTGAAAAATTGTGTCTTGAAACCTTCACTCAGAGCAGGTTAGGCATGGGGAGACTGTGGATAGACACATGTAGATTGCTAGTAACGAAAACCAGGAGTTGATCCACCTCGGTGGAGTGAGAGGAAAAGAAACAGGAGAGGAAAATGCAGAGAGTGGTGAGCCTAACATGCTAGGAGCTAACAGTCCTGCAACTAGTTGCCTCTGGGAAGATGGTTAATAAAAGCAGAAAAGCGTGAAGTTCCTGCTCTTGGAGGCGTTGGTCCAGTTGTCAGCCATGGCTTATTTCATTTAACCCTGATGATGGCCATACAAATGAGGAACCTGGAACCTGGCAAGGCTGCCACAGCCAAGTCTGTGACTCAGGTGTGTGCATTTGGTTCTCCCTCATTCTACATCTCTTCCTGTGATTGTGATTAGAGCTCATCAGTAAAGAAAAGAATAAAGTTTATTTTTCTTTTTTGAGGCAATTTCCCCTAAGTTATCCAGGTTGACCCTGAGCTTGTGATCTCTAGTGGTTTTTCTGGTTGGCCTCTCTAGTATATGGGGTTAGAGGTGTGTTTGGATTAACTTTTTTTTTTCTTTTTAAGGGTCACAACATATTTAAGTATTTTAAAGCAATTTTTCCTTTAACAAGTTCAAATTAGTTCTCCACTAAAATACGTTAGGACAGTAGCTGAAGATGTAGCTCAGTTGGTAGAGTGCTTGATATGCGTGAGACCCTGGGTTCCAGTCCCAGCACCATTAACCCGGTGTTGTGGTACATGCCTTTAATCCCAGCACTCAGGAGGCGGAGGCAGGAGGATTAAGAATCAACTTGAGCTACATAGAGAGTTCAAGGCCAGCTTGGGATACATGTGATGTGGTCTCAAAAAAAAAAAAAAGAAAAGAAAAATATATTAAGATATTGATTTCTAATGATTTTTTGGTCTTGAAAAGGTTAAATGTGTATAATACATATATTAAATCTATATTTCTGGATAAGAAACTATGAATTGATGTTATTAAATATCTTCTAAAATAAATGAATGTCTTTATGTAAGTAATGCAAATACTCAGGAGTTTAACTCCTTGTCTTCCACACTGTTCTAGGAACAGGGTGACTTCACACACATGTTAATTCATGCCATAGTATGGGAAGTTTGAGTTGATATATTTAATTGCATGCAGTGCTATAAATGCATTGGTATAAATTTTAACTTTGACTCCATTTTAAAGATTACAGACATCATTTTGAAACTCAAATTTTGAATTTTAGTGTCTTTCCTATAAAAAATAGATGTTGGGCTAAACACTCTGCCAATGACATACTTAAAATTGTCACTTTCTGAATGTACTTATTTTCATTGCCGTTTATTATGGCATACCATGACCAAAAGGGAAATGACTCTGTGAGCCTTTTCTTTCCCACTTGGAATTGTTTGTCAGAACTCCTGTGATGTAGTTTTCAGGATTCCAGGTAGTCTGCCTTGATACTCATGTGCTCTGCAGCTTGGCAGGTGACAGCCTCCACTGCAGTCCTGTGGTCAGCAGTACTGCATGCTCAGGGACTCCTGTGCCTAGAAATGAGTTCGCAGAAGATCTACAAGGCACTTAGAGCAGTCTGGGTTCGTGGGGTCCAGGAAGTGTTGTTTTCCTCTAGGCTGTCTTCTGAGACTTAATGGGTCTTGTATATGATACACTTGGTGTGAACCCCGAATCTGCTGAATGGTAAACAGATGCCAGTCAGTGACTCTAAATGTTTCAGTGCTGATATGTCTAAGGATCTGTGCCTTTGGATCTCTGTATATATGAGATACTTGGTTAATTTACTTGAGGGAGTGAGGAAAAGTAGCTAGTTTCTATATTGGCTTTCCCCAGTAGGTACAAATCACAGATCAAAAAAAAAATTTTTTTTTTTTTGGTTTTTATGAGACAGGATTTCTCTGTATTGTTTCGGAGGCTATCGGTCCAGCCCGGCCTCGAACTTACAGAGATCTGCCTGCCTCTGCCTCCCGAGTGCTGGGATTAAAGGCGTGTGCCACCACTGCCCGGCCAGATCAAAATGTTTAAAGTAAGTATATAATTACTTTCTAATTGCCAAGTGTAGATAGTCATTTCAAATAGGTATTGATTTTTATTATTAAAAATGTAGATCTTGATGAGCACCACAATTTAGTGAACTTTGAAACAGCATGGCAATGTCTAACCCTATTTTCTTGTTGCCATCTTTATAGGTTTGTGGAATCTTGCTTCCTTATTTTCCAACCTCTGTTTATTTGTCTTGATGCCCTTTGCCTTTTTCTTTCTGGAATCAGAAGGTTTTGCGGGCCTGAAGAAGGTAAGTAAATTGAATTTGGATTAAATTTGTTAAATGATGAATTGCATGTCACTCATATTAACCTAGAAGTTGATTTAAACAAGTAGTTTAATTACTAAATAAGGGTATTGACACATTGTTGTTAATAATATTAATAACATTGTATAGTGAGTTGCTTGTGTGCTCAGCAGAAGGTACATTTGTGGTGCATATGCCCCTGGAGGAGTGTCTCCTGTGGAACTGATAGCCTGATATCACAGCTGAAAGGCCTTTAGAGGCCTCATCTACTTAAGGCCTGATATATGCACTTAAAGTGTATCCTTTAAAATTATTTATTTATTTTTATTTTGTGTGCATTGGTGTTTTGCCTGCATGCATGTCTGTGTGAGGGTGTCAGGTCTTGATGGAGTTACAGACAGATGTGAGCTATCATGTGTGTGTTGGGACTTGAATGCTGGTCCTGTGGAAGAGCAGTTGGTGTAGTGCTCTTAACCACTGAGTCATCTCTCTGGCCCCTAAAGTACATCTTGATGTAAAAGCTGTTGCACATCTCATATTGTCAGGATAGTAGCACATTATACAATCAAGTACTCTACAGTATGTAGACCCCCATAGTACTGAGAATGACTCATCTTACATGAATATGGAAGGCCTGGCAGTGAGCATACTGGGAAGCTTTTTGAGAACATCTGAAAACATACTATGACTTTATAGGATGGGATGACTGACTCTGACTTTGAATACAGTGTCCAACCACAAACTTTGTAATATAATGAAAAGATTTAAGTAAATACTTGAAAGAGTGATGTAGTGTTACAGTTGAAGTATCTTACACCTTTATGATTTTTACTTCTATTCCTGTTGCAATATATGGAATGAATTGTGCTTAACCATGTTATAAATTTCACACAGGAAGTTGTAAACTGTGTGGATTATGCTTTTTTATTTCACATAACTTTTTTACCCCCTTTTTGGTGTGTGTGTGTGTGTGTGTTTGCTTGTATTCATGCAGGTGCATGCACATGTAGAGGACAGTGATCAAAATTGAGTGTCTTTCTCAGTTTCCTTTGGCCATATTTTTTTTGAGACCGGGACCTCGATGAATCTAGAATTCAATAACTTAGGTCAGATGGTTGGCCAATGAGCCCCAAGGATCTGTATGTCCTTGCCTCTCTAGCACTGGAATTACAGACACAGGACTGTACCAGTTTTAGATGAGTGCTAAGTATTTGAGCTGAGGTCCTCATTCTTACATGGCAAATGCTTTACTGACTGAGCCCCGTCTTCAGACCCTCACATAACTTTACAAAGCACAGAATGCCTCATGAATTTGTGTGTCATCCCTGCCCAGGGGTATGCTGATAACTGTGCTGTTTCAGTTTTAATTATGCTGTCAAAGGAGTGCTGTTTATGTGGGGTCTTGGAAATGAGATTAACACTCGATAGTCTGAGCGACACAGGGGAAGGGCCACTGAGAGGTCAAGTGCTTTTGTGGACTGACCTTGTTGTTACTTCAGATGTGCCCCTGAAAACTGTCAGCTGACTTCCTACTTAATAAATGTACTGAGATGAGAATCAGTTGTACTTTGCTAGCAAGCTTCACCTTGAGAAAACTGGCTTTTTTAATGTTGGAATTATTTTCTATCTTTATGTCTTAAGATTGGCAGTGAAAATTATGTAATAGGAAAGAATTACTTTGTTTTAATTTAGAAAGCTGCTGTACTGGGTGTGGTGGCATACACCTTTAGTTCTATTACTTGGGAGGCAAGAGGCAGGTGGATCTCTGAGTTCGAGAATAGCTTGGTCTACAGAGTGAGTTACAGGACAGCGAGGGCCACACAGAGAAACCCTGTCTTGAAAAAACAACCAACCAACCAACCAACCAAAAATGAAAGCTGCTTTATTATTTATAGTTTCTTGAGGGAATTAAACAAGGTCTTATCACTGATTTAGTTCAAATTATTCTTGTATATGGTTAAAACTGAGGCCCAAAGGTATTGAATACTATTAAATTGTCTAAAAACCTCATGTATAAAATAGCAGTGGCACTCCCAAAGGGCACTGTTCTCTCCGTAGACCCAAACTGGAAAGCACAAGGAAGCTAGCAAGAAAAGAGGAGATGGCCAAGGACAGAATGTGGAAAGGGAAGACAAGAGGATCAAGAAATGCTGGCAGCAGAGGAGCTGTGTTGTTAGAGGGTGTGAAGAAAGGGAGGCAACACCTGAAGCCTGAGGCCACAGGGCTTCTAGAATATGTGTAGAATGCACAGCCTTACAGAGTACTCCAGAGAATGGGCAGCCTGAGGGGGAGCCTCGGGAGACTCTGCAGATGTCAGTGTCTGTGGAAGTTTGCAGCTAGAGTTTTTCCTAGATATGTGTCTGTCCATCAGAAATTTAGTAAGCAGCTCTAAGTATGAGTTAGTGTGCCCCTAAAGGAGCTTGCTGGGGCTGCTCATGAAGAGCTTAGAATCTTCAATCAAGGGACAGACAGTGTGTGTGTGTGGGGGGGGGATCAGCAATGCACACAAATAAGCACTAGCTTGATGTAGCCAAGGAACTGTGGGAACCACTAACAGAAGTGGTGTCTTGATCTTGGAGCAAGCACAGAGGAGGTGGCCAGGTGGGATGGGACTGAGCCTTAAGGGTAAGCAGGACTTGTAAGAGGGACTTTCAAGGCTTCCCTTGTGGTATTTAGTTTTGATTGAATTGATGAGTGCTGGAAGATGGGGAGCAATCAGGGACATGGGGAACCTCAGGGTAAGGTCCTGGAGGCTTCAGCTCTGGCAGGTAGTTTAGGTTTTATGCTATAGACAACAGGGAACTGGAAAGAGATTTTTCTGGAGGGTTTTTACAACCACCATTTCATTTAAGTATAGTGATTAGTCTGCATTTCAGTGTTTCTCATTTGTCATCAAGGAAAGGAATACCCTGGAGCACATGTGTCACCCAATGTCAAGCACTGTTTGGGGAGGGGAGCATTCAGGTGGCAGGGCACAGATGTGTAGGCACAGATGTGTAGACTCACTGACCACGTGCTGATGCTGATGTCTGCTGTGTGCACAGTCCCTCCTCTTCCTAATCCTGCCAGTGTGCTAGTAATAACTAAATGCAAGCAATAGGTGTAACTGTTGGTCCAGTGTTGCTCCTGTTTGGTGTTCCAGGAATTCAGTTTATACTCCTTATGAAGTTGTAGTTGTTAACTAGGTAGATCATGACTTAAGGCAGGTTGTAATTTGGATAGTCCTTACCTCTGCCCTGTCTGCACTGACCAGCCAGGAAAGGGATTCCACTACAGCTTGTGAGACATGATTAACAACATCCTCAGAAATTAAGACCTGTTGGCAAAACCGAGAAGCATTACCTCTTGTGCTCCTCCTCTTAGACCAGGAGTTCTCAACCTTTCTAATTCTGTGACCCTTTAATATGGCTTCTTATGTTGTGGTGACCCCCAACCACAAGTTATTCTCGTTGTTGCTTCATAATTATAATTTTGCTACTGTTATAGATCATAATATAAATATCTGTGTTTTCACATGGTCTAGGTTAACCCTGTGAAAGGGCCATTTTACCCCCAAAGGGGTTGCAGACCCATAGGTTGAGAACTACTGTCTAGACTTCACATCAGCAGGGAGAACCAGTTGGGCAGGGACCCAAGAGACAAGCATGACATCTCACACCCACATTTGTACGTCTCTTGCCGTTAATTACTTTTACTTCTAAGTTTTTTATGATTAAAGAGATACTTGTCCTAAACATGTATTTAACCATGCTTGTCTCTCAAAACCCTTCAGGGTTATCATGCCTTTCTTCATCTTTGATGGGACTGCAGAAGTGTTGAATGTTTGAACAAGACAAGTCAGTACCATCAAATGAGCAGATTCCCAGCCACAAGGAATTTAAAAAAAGACCAGAAGGTAGAGACCAGCAGCTAGAGGCTAAGAGGTAGAGGCCAGGGTGACTATCATTGATCCGACTTGGTAAGCAAGTTTCTTAATGCTAAGGATGGAAAGAGATGCTGAGGCTTGGAGATGGAGTGGGGAGGCCTGGCTACACTGGCACTCCAAGGAGAAGGGGCATTTGCAGGTGTATCAGGGTTAACGTCAGACTGCTGACTGAGTTACTTCATCGGAACTTAGATTCTCTTTCTGTATGCTTGGTACAGTAGTAATATTTACTCTGCTGTATTATTTTGTTTGTTTTTTGAAACAAGGTCTCCCTATGTAGCCTTGGTGGGCCTGGAGCTCAGAGAGATCTACCTGCCTCTACCTTCTGAGTGTTGTGATTAAAGGCGTGTGCCTCCACGTCTGGCTCTCCATTGTATCATTTTGACGACTGAATGCGGTAATTTATGTAAATACACACAGACTAGGACTTAGTACAGTTTTTTTTCTTTTTTACTTTCTCAAAACCATTTGTATTTCCTTAGATCTGAATATTTATAAGGGGAATTTCGAGGAGATGGCCCTAAGAGAGTATCAGCTTATAGTAAGAAAATAGATGGGGTCTGCAAGGTGATTCAGTGAGTAAAGGTGCCTGCTGTCAAGACTGGGGACCTAGTTCAGCCCCAAGGACCATACGGTAGAAGGAGAGACCTGACTTCTGCAAGTTGTCCTTTGACCCCTACATGTGCATTGTGGCACAGGTGCCTCCTGACAAACAAGCAAATAGATAAATTCAATTAAAATAAAAGAGAGATGAAAGGCTCTGAAAGGACATGGCCAGCCCTCTGGACTTAAATGTGCTGTTTTACTTAGCACAGTGATTTAATTAAGAAGTATGTAGTCAGTAAATGTGCTCAGCTAATGAGTGCTTATCGAAAGCAGTGGCCAGCTCTGAGTAATGACACATTATCAGGTAGTCTAACATCCCAAATTATTTTCTGCACTTTGAAGTAGAGAGTGTAGAAGCAAAGCAAATCAGTTTTAGCATCAGGAGTAGCATCCTTTGACAAAAAGCCACTGGATGGTAAGGTGTATTACAGAGCCTAGTAGAAATTTTTAGAAAGTTTTCATATTAAGTGAG